ACATAGATGAGTCACTGAGGAGGTAAATCATCCTGCTCATTCCTATATACAATGATACTTGTCGGGTAAACGGTTAAGCTAATGTTTTTAATGACTTATATGTGTTGAATAATCAAGCATGTATAACAGGATACCATAAGAAGGTCACCTATGTGAGTGTGAAGTGGGAGGTCGCTTCTATAAGAATTAATGAGGCCAATTTCTTTAAATCACTCACTGACCAAGGGTGAGTGTTCAGCGCCAAAACGAACACAACAGTGAGAACTGAACTATAGTAGGAGAAGATCCTGAGTGAAGTCTATTGTCTCGGTTTATACCAACGACAGATCAGTTCAATAAGTCATGTTCACTGATCAGTCAGTAAATCCGATAGGCTTTCACTAGAAGACTTTCAAAACCAAAAGTTACCTTTTTCGATGCAAGGATTTGTCATGGTACTCTATCGTCGAGTCTTTGTTATCTACCCGTTCTTTCTTTTTTCGGCCAATTTTATTAATGTGGGTGATTGTTGGAAAATAATAATTTTTTAGCAACTTTAATGCAAAATTAAAGTGGTAACCAATCGCCGGTTGAAATGGGTTCAAGTGAGTTTGTGTTCTCTTTAATGAGAAAGTTACAACACAAAATGAATGAGTCAAACCATTAAGATTTGATTGACAAATTGTCTCATAAAGTGGAGCTTGAAACTTAGGATTGGACTTGAACTTGGACTTAGTCTTGGTCTAAGTTGGGCTAGACTAGGCTAGGCTTGTGCATGTGCATATGCTGGATTTGGGACTTGGACTTAGTCTTGGTCTAAACTAAGCCCAGGTTTGTGCGTGTGCATGCGCATGCGCATGTGTTGGGTCGGGTTTGGTTGGCTTTGGAATGGGTCCGTGGCCCATTATTCCTATCCATTTTGTGACCCAGAAATGCGGCTATCTTTTATTTTAGCACATGTTTTCAACATGTGTGAGTTTTTATAACTTGTGGGTTATTGCACAAGTTACAATAGAATTGATGACCCTATTGATGTTGACCTTAATGGTTAGAGACTCTCCTACTTATATAAATAGAGGCCTTCCTCTCCTACATTGATTAGAAGAAAATGTAGATAATTTTTTAGATTTAAAATGAGTGATGGTTTTTACACCAATAATTTTAGAGTTTTTTCTCTTCTCTTTTGCTAGTCTACTTCCTTGGTTCTATTAGAGAGAGTAATACCAATGTTCAAGTTTGTTGGAGTTGTTCACGTGAGAGTTACTATAACAGACGTTCAATCATTGTATTTTGGGAGATAAATACCGACAAACCTCTAACACTATCGATGAGGCAACAAATTTGTTTTAAGGACACTGTGTGATACACGGGCCTCGGTTTGCATCACTTGCTCTTGTCTTGTTCAATTTTATCTCTTTGTCTAATTTTATTTGTCATTGTTACTAATATATTCTAGTGATTTGTTTTATTCAGAATCCATAATATGTTCTTGTAATTTTGTTTAATTTAATCCATATTGTAATTTATCTTCTCGCTTTGTATTTTTTTTTTTAAGAAATTAAAAATAAGATTATTTTATGGGGTAAATTACCAATAAGTTCTAATAGTTGGACTTAATTCTCATCAAGACCTATTGAAATAAGTCTTAGTAAAATAGTCGCTAAAAATAATTTTTTGTGATAATTTTTTGCATATGTCGTTAAAAAATGATAATTAGTGACTTTTTTTGTTACGATTTTTATAAATTAATGCTAAAACTTATACTTAGTCACGTTTTTCTATAACAAATTTTTCAAACTGTGGTTGAAAGTTAAAAATTAGTGACTTTTTTGTGAGGATTTTTTTAAACTGCCGCTAAAACTTATAATTAGTGATAATTTTTGTGACCAAATTTTCAAACTATCGTTGAATATTAACAATTATTGACATTTTTTAATAATATTTAATGAAAAACGACATTAATTATCAGATGACTTATTAAATAATAAGTTCACCTCTTAAAATGTACACGTAAATTCCCTTTGTTTTATCTTATCTATTTTATTTTATTCGGTTTTTTTTTTATATTAAAAATACCAATAGGAAGCACTTAAGTCACGTTTGTTTGGCAGATTAGGTTGAATGTGATTGTTAATGAAAGGATGGTTAGTGAAAAGATTATTAATGTGGGGATTGTTAGTAACGGGATTGAGTAAAAGTGTGTTTGTTTGATGATAGTATGACAGATAGTTAGTGATGGAATTGTTAAATTATTTTTATGTTAAAAAAATTAAAACTAATATTAAAACAAACAGGTGTACTTGGTAAAAAAAAATAAAATTTGTATATAAAATTGACTCAGTCCTCTCACTATTTTCCTAATCTCACTCAAAAATCTAACCAAGTTAATCCCCTTACCGAGGGAGATTACTAAGCCTCTTAGACTATCAATCTGTCCTCCCATTTCACTACTAAACATACTATGGGTAAGACCCACAATTATAATAATCCAATCCGATCACTCAAACCGCGGAACAAATATGACCTTAGACTATTGTCATGTACACCAAGAGGCCTAGAAATAGTGGGTGTATTGAAGAGAAAAACCCCCCAGAAAATCTACCGACTCCATTTTATGTTATTTCCTTTACTAGTCCCCCTGAATCCCCAGGTATTTTTACTTATATTGTCAAAATAATTTTTCATTCATTCCTTTCTCTCCAGTAACCACCTACTACTTATCACCGCCCCCATCAATTACCTCCGGCCAGCCACTCCTAGCCATTACCTTCAATAGCGATTCACCACCAATGCGCAACCACCTCCTGCCAATCCACCACTGCTAACCATTTGGAAATATCCAAAAGGACAAATATGGTTTTAGTAATTATGGCATGCCCTAACAATTGCCATCCTAGGTGCTTTTTCTTGTAGTGTTCGAAGTCAGCAATATTGGATAAGAAATTCTACATTAAAACTGGAACTTGGAAATCCTCATAAGTGACCAATCAATATGTGTGATATAACCACACAAATATGCATGAGATAAAATAATTTTTTTCTCATTTTTTTGTGTGTGTGTGTATAATAGAATTAATAATGAATGATAATTAATCAGATCTCTGCATATTCCAATAAAATAAAAACTAAAACAGTGATGGTGAGGGCTAAAAAAGAAAATGCATTGGGTAATTTGCATATCAATAATTTTGAAAAAAAAAAAAAAAAGAATATCAAATTAAGAGCCGCCTTCCCACAATGTGCTTAATTATTTCCATAAGATTGGCATCCATGGAGCTTAATTAACCTGCAATCATAATACAAAAGCCAGAAAGTAACTGTTAGATTTTAATCAATATTCTAATATTGAAATTGATAATAAAAGAAAAGAATAAAGAATTAAAGCTGGATAAATAAAAACCATATAATTTGGCAAACCTACAAGACAACAACCTAGGACAATATGCTTTATAAATCAGTTGGCTCAAAAACAGTTTACTGTTGCTACCATTAAATATTAACAACTCAAGAAATATAAACCTAAAATTATGTGCCTCAATGTATAGAGCACACTTGCAAATTATATTCACACAATCAACTACAATTGTAGAAATTAGAGATGCAACTAACTAGTTCATGAAAATTGTAATGTGAACAAAGTTCATAACATTTAGGGTAAATTATAAATATAATTTTTGAGATTTGTTTAAAATGTTAATTGTCTCTTGTTGTTATAAAAATTATAAATACCCCATCATCAAAAAATTTCATTTAACAGAATTGATAGAAAAAATGAAATTCCTAACTGTCCTCTTCTACAATAATGAAATTACTAAATTTCTACTTGGAAACATAATTAAAAATTGTTAATTGACTTAATAGTTGATTAAATTGGTTGTTTGTTATGCTATTAGAAATTTTAAGGGATGTGATGTAATTTTCAGAACTACAAGGGCAATCAATATTTTAAACAAACTTCAGGAGTCCATTTGTAATTTACTATAATGTAATTTAGGAAAACTTACCATTTAGTAGTAAAGTTATTACGAATTCATGAAAAAAATTATAATTTTAATTATTAATATTTATAAAATGTACTATTTATTTGTAATTATTTTTAGAACTTACACTTAACGAAATTTCCCCTACTATGTATATATGCATACATGGCCAATTAATATGTTGAAAATAAGGATACTGCAACAGTTGCGACTCTTGCTAAAACTATAGAGAGCTTAAAGTTTCATTTTGTACACCGCTAGCTATTTTATGTCTATAACATACAATAATATTAACAAATCCGAAAATTTATTGTTCCTACAAAAGTTTATTTTCAATAGTAATTTGTAGTTCAAATATCAATATAAATAAATTTTTAGTTTTTATTTCTTATTTTCATTCTCATGTGGCCTGAACTTCATGACACTTGAGTAAAATTTATTATTAAACTGACTATGCATCACATGTGAACTCAACTCTACATTGAAACAAAGATATAAGTGGGAAAAATACACAAATATCCAAGTACGTGGGAAAATAAATAAAAAATAAAAAAAATAAATTTTTTTTTTTCTAAAACTCATCTCCCAAATGGAAACCAAGCATACCCTCTTTCGTACCTTGTACTAGTCTTTACATCAATGAAGTATCTTTTTGCTGATCAAAAAAAAAAAAGAGAGAGAAAGAATGCCCATTAAACTAAAGAGTATATCATCAATAAGAACTTGAATTGTTGATTAGTAATTAGTAAATGCTTGGGCTGGCTTAGCTACTCTCTATGCTAGTATGTTTGTTTGGCTTTATTATTAACAGCCATTGTTGGACTTGAAGAGGTGACAAAAAGGATGATCACTCAAATGCCCTTTGACAAAGGGTGATTGGCCAATGACAATAGTTTTTTGGTGTTTGCACAATTTAGGTGGCATTACCTAAAGAAAAAAAGAAAAAGAAATAGTACAAACTGATGGAGAGAAACATGGATTCTGAAAAATTGACTCAAATAATTGTAACACATGTATAAGAAGCAACACAATATATATACCTTAAAGATAGTACTGCTGGTTTAAGCTATTGACAGAATTTTGTTGAGGTAGAACTACATCTACTGCAGAACCAACATGCCTTTCTTGCCTTATTCTCTCCATACCATGGATATTATGGTGATTTAAAGAGTAAGTATATGGACTTGAATTTGAAATAGAATTTCCATTGTTGTGATGAATATAATTGGTATTATTATTGTTATAATTAGCTACTCCAACCATACTTGTACCCTTATGTATTATCGCATTATTATTAGTATTAGTATTAGTATTGTTCCATCCAACCAAACTTGTTGGTTCGTAAACCATGCCACCTCCTTCTTCTGGTACTTGGAGGATCTGTTGGTATTGGCTGCTTTTGTACAATTTAAGCTCCTCATACACTTTTCTGTATTCTCCATATGGACCTAAGATTGGATCTTTTAGCCGACAAAATGCTTCCCACACCAATGAATCTATGGCTTTTTTCCTATCTTCTTCCTTGAGATTTTTCACAATTTTGGTCGCGTTGCTCACACCAAACACTTTGTGCACAGCTTGGAATTCTCGACTTTTGTTTACTGGAAAGAACGGTGCCAACACACACTTGTCAGTGCACTTCTTCCTCTGATGCTTGCACGATGCGCATGCCGGCATGCCATTATTCCTTTGCATCCTATATCATCAAGTAAAAATCAATCTATCAAACAAAGAAGACCCACTTGTTTTGTTTACTATCATATCTATATTTATCTAAGAAATCAAGTAATAGTATTGGAAATCAAGTAAAAAAAGCACTTACCTGCAAACTTGTTTTGGTAAAAATGAAAAGAGTGCCTTTATAGATAAAAACCAAGTTTAAAGAAGTAGAAGATTAATGAAGAATGTGTTGTATAGTGAGCATGAAAAGATGGCCAATGTATAAAACAAAAGATATATGTGATGGTTTGATTAGAATGTAGGTAGATCATTAGAAAAACAAGTGCTCTAACCAATTACTAGGGATTAGATGCTGATTATGATATAATGATGGTAAGTAAATAAGGCGTATTAGATTTAAATGTTGGTTTATGAAATAATAATGCTAAATATATACTAATATCTCTAGCTTAGAATTGTAAAATTTTAATGTGTCAGTGGCCGGAGACCGCATTCTACAAAAGAGGGGGTGGTTGTGCACATTCCTATTACATAATATATGGACTTTTGCATTACATGATGGCTTTCTCTTTAAGATGTAGAAATATATCATATGAATACCATTATAATAATCATATTTACGTTTTTTAATTTTATCATTTCATTTCAGGCGTGTAGATCATAATTATATATCAAAGTTTGTCTATTCAGCTAACATTATCGCATTAATTTAATAGATTCCAAGACTTATATCAATTATTAATAAATAAAAAAAGAAATAAATTAGGAAGACATCTCTCTCTATCTATGTTACACGGACTCGGTTCCGGGTATCCGGTGCGGGTGCATATCTGGGGGTCGGACACTTCAAAATTAAAAATTGAGGATACATGGATATAGCGACCCCGGTCTTTTCCCATTTGATTATTGTATCCGGACTTAAGTTCTGTAGATTCTGTCATTGTATAATTGTTGTTGTCGTTCTTTATTTTCTCATTTGGAGTTATAGGATGTGTTGGGCAGGTTTGTTTCAAGTTGGTTGGGTTTAGAAACCTATAGTTGATGCCCAGATTTTGGCTTTCACGCTCGAGCGGGGCTTTTGACGCTCAAGCGGGCCCTTTGCTTTTGTTCCTTCGCTCGAACGGGAAGTTTGACGCTCGAGCAGGATTATTCATCTCTCACAGGTGTGTAGATCATAATTATATCAGCAATACTAGGTATCATGAAAAGTCTTTCATGAAAATGATCATGAAAGATTTGTGACATTTGGATTATACTTAGAATAAAACACCACACACTAATCAAGGTAATCCAAGGGTCATAAATCTTTCATGATCATTTTTATGAAAAGTCTTTCATGATCCCTAACATTTCTCTAATTATATATCAAAGTTTGTCTATTCAGCTAACATTATCGCATTAATTTAATAGATTCCAAGACTTATATCAATTATTAATAAATAAAAAAAGAAATAAATTAGGAAGACATCTCTCTCTATCTATGTTACACGGACTCGGTTGCGGGTATCGGGTGCGGGTGCATATCTGGGGGTCGGACACTGTTTATTTTGAGGGCGTTACAATGGATATGGATCCAAATATGAATACGGGTACGGGAATACGTTAAATAGTTATTTTAAAAATATATTTATTATATAAAAATGAGTTAAATAATTATTTTTTAAATATATTTATTATACGAAGATGAGTTAAAAAAAGTTGACCCAATAATTTTTTTTATAAATAGAATCAAACATATGGATAAGTCATATAATAACCCATGTTGTTGTTGAATAGAGTTAATAAATAGATCCAAATATTTTATTTATTTATTTGGATCTAACCCATTACGGTTTATTGTGATACAAACCAGCCAACAGGTGTAAACTTTTTCTTTATTTTTTTGGGTCCAGCCCATTATAATTTATAATATTAATTATTATGATACAAATCAGTGTCCAAACTTTCTATTTATTTATTTGGGTCCAGCCCATTAAGATTTATAATATTAACTAGCAATAGCCTAAGCCTTTTATTTATTTATTAGGTCCAGCCCATTAGGTCCAGCCATTAGGGTTTAATACAAACAAAAGCAACAGCAGCAGCAGCAGCTTTGACACAATGGGTCTGTCTCAGTCTCACACGCACAGCAGTAGCACGAAGGGTCTGTCTCCTCCTCGCTTCTCTCTCACACGTACCGCAACACAATGGGTTTGTCTCTTCTATTCTCTTCTCTCACACATGCACATCACAATCGAGAGAGATATCGAGGCAGAGAATGAGATCATGATAGAGAGAGAGAGAAGAAGATCGAGATAGAGAAGAAGATCGAAAGACACGATCAAGATCTTGAACCCATACATCAATGTAAGTATCTCAACATTCTTCTTCCTTTTTGATTAGCCGTGTCCGAAAGAGGAGAGGCGAATCCGACACAAATCCCACACCCGCACCCGTGTCGTGTCGTGTTGACACGGGTACTTCGCCCCAAAGTGCCAAGTCCATGTAACACAGGTCTCTACAAGTTCATGTGAAAGTTTGAGGACACTAACAATTTTCTTACTTGTTAAAGTCCCTAAAATTTCAAATTATAGAAGAATAAGGGGGAAAAAAAAAGTTTGACATAAATATAACTCTCTATCATTTTTCTCTCTTTATCTCTCTCTCTCTCTCTACCTCTAATGTCGCATCTACAATGTTTACCAGTGTCACCTCAACAACAGTTGCAACTGTTATTGGAGAGTCGTCGAAAAGGGTCAGTGAGATCTAGACGCATCTAACTAATTCTCTCTCTCTCTGACACTTCTCACCACATATGTTCTCTCTCTCTCTCTCTCTCTCTCTCTCTCTTTCTCTCAACGACATCTACCTCTGCTGTCATTTCCATCGCCACCTCTGTTCTTTTTGCTCAAAATCATTGTCACCGCTACTGATCTCTTAGTGTCTGTTGTCCTCCGATATTGACCGTGATTTTTTTACTCAAAACAATTGTTGTCATCACCGATCTGTTAAGTATCGATTCTATCTTGCTCTCTCTCTGGCACATTTCACTAGTCTAGATTTGGACGTTGATCGCCTTCAATGTCATTTCTTACTCTTTGTTTATTTTATTTCTCTATTTGTTGATTTGTATGTTTTCTCTCAATCTACTTTCTCTCATGCTCAATGAAATTTCTTTGAATAAAAATCAATGAAATTGCTATAGTCAATGAGATTTTACTAATTTTATCTAGAAGTCAGTGAAATTTATGTGATCAAAGTTAGTGAAATTTCACTACCTTTTTCAATTTCAGTGGTTTTAGTCAATTAATTTCAATTTACTTTGTTTTGTTGGTAGATCTTATGTAATTTTTTTTATCAGCAAAATTAGAAGAAAATTTTTATTGCTAAAAGAGAGAAAGATTACTCCAAACATGCAAAAGGGAAAAAATTGCATCATTGTCAAAACATCGCATCCCAATTATGTTTTCACTCAAAAGGAAGACCAATTGTAAGCAATCCCAAAGTTCAACACAACAATACAAAACCGAGTTGAAGAGGATCTAACTCCAGACATCACAAAAAAGCAAAGTATAAAGAGAACAAAAAAAAAATCAACAAAATAGTAGGGTTAAACATCAAAACAAGAAGCACCTAAACATGATGATTGATTGAGCTCTACCATCCCACCTGTGCAACGCCTTGATCTTCTATTACCAACACACTGACGTACCTCTTGTGGTCTTGATAAAGTCATGAACTGAATAAAAAAATCCTGGGAGATAAGCCTTCACCCAGAGAGCAACTCTTACCACATCAACTCAGCCGGATCAATCAAATTTGGATTTTGCCTATTAAAATGGCAATCAATCCTAAGCTTCCAAAAAGACCAAAGGATTGCTAGAGGAATAGATCTCCATATCTTCAATTATACCTCTCTTTACATAATTCATTATAATCCAACATTGGAGTAGATCATTCATAGAATCTAGTGATACCCAATCGAATCCCCACCACCTAACCTTGTCATTCCAAGTTCTCCAAACAAAGGACATAATCTTATTTGTTTGTGGATGGCATTATGCGTGTGGTGGGATTGAATGAAGAGATTATTAGTGTGATACTATTAGGTTGGAGATGTAAGATACAGTATATTTGTTTGTGTACTAGTGTGGTGTTATTAGTTAGTTAGGATTAAACTTATGAAACTACCTAAAATTTCTCCTTACATGTAATATAATTTTGTTAGTTTTGTTATGTGGAGGGGAAAATGATAATTGAGCCATAAATTGGGTGAGGGGTCCCATGGGATGCTAATTCCACCATGGGAGGGGATTCGTACTCTCATAGGACTTATAATCTCGTAACATTTTGTGGGCGTTTGGAAAATTGCTATTTTAGTAGACTATTTTAGTTTTTGGCTATTTTAGTAGGCTAAAATTTTTGTGTTTGGGAAGATGATTTGATTTTTTTGTAATTGGATGTGATACTTGTAAGAAAAAAAAAGTGAAATGATTATATATTTAATGTGACATTTTATCTTATTAACTATTTTAATCTATTTTATTTTTATTTTTTTTTATAAATTTTAGCCTAAAATCTCACTTTCCAAACAGTTCCAAACACAAACATGAATTTGGTGGATCTCACAAATTGATGATCCAATCCTCCCCCAAACTCCTAATCAAACATGAAAGACGTAAAAGCAACACATGATCCAAAGTTTCAACCTCAAGAGTGTAATTTGATTGTCTTTGGTTGGTGAAATGTCACTAAATTCGTAAAATTTCATTTGGCAAAATAAGTGAAATTTTACTAACCACTGACTTTCTAAAATAATGAAAATTCTATAAATTGTCTTGTTTGGCTTTGATTGATTTTCTAAAAATTAAGTTTTTTATTTTTTGTTTTTTTTTTTGTAGTGAATTTTTTTAATGTTTTTACTAATTTTTTTTAGATTCATCTAACCTAAATGTATTTAAAAAGTAAAATATTTGTGAAAAAGTGTTTTTAAGAAATCAATAAATATTTGTGAAAAAACTATTACTTTTTATTTTAGTATCTAATACACTTATATCACTATAACATATGAGAGTTTTAGAGAACAAACGTTTTTATTTCTAGAAGTGAAAATTTTATTGCAAAGATTATTTGGAGCCCAATTTCTATCATTGCGAGAATAATCATTAAAAGATGGTCTGAAGAAGTAAAAAATATGGGCTTTTAGCGATAATTTTAAAATGTTATTAATAAATATACTTTTAGGAACAATAATTTGGTCCTAAAAGAGTGTTTTGAGACATAAAATTTGATTCCAAAAATATAATAATTCATCACTAGTGATCCAATTTCGTCACAAAAAATATAATAATGACATTTTTTACAACAAAATATTTCTTCTTTAAAATGTAATTTTATTCCTAATTTTTTTTTCTCCAAAACGTTAATTTATTGTAGAAATTTGTGCCTTGAGATATCTAACATATTTTATAATTGCACCCTTGAGTGCATTAAAACCGAGTATTTTGAGGAGAAATAATCTTGACCCCCATATCTTGTCACTGAAGTTTGAACCCAATATTTAAATTCAGTTTCTCACATCAGCAGGGTCTCAAAAGCCATCAATTTCTTAACTTTAGATCTAGATTGTTTTGGGTACACAAAAAAAAAAAGAATTTTTTTTTATATATTTTTTCATAAAAAATATAAAAAATATATTTTTTCATAATAAATAAAAAAATAAAAAAAATAAACCATAAATACTCGGAACAAAAGTGTGGGAATACCTTTGTGGGATGGCCATTTGATTTGATTGTCATTTGAATTGGATCACAAGTTTGCTTTCCCAAGTGGCCTAAGCGAGAATCATGCATAAAGCTACCACATAACATTGTAATTATTATCATAAAGTGCTATATATAATAAATAAAAAATTAGTCTGAGGACTACACCACACCAATCAATACTAGATTGTAGAGTAAAATTATTTGCAAATAAGTTATTTATAGAATGATTCACAAATAAGTATTATATATGAATTATTTTGTGAATAGTTTCTTTGCGTATAATATAACTCAACAACGGTATTAAAAAACAGAAATGTTTGGGACCCCTTTTTTAGGAGTTTCATGACTCCTAATTTGATCTTGGCCTTGATGTGTGCGTAGGCCCACATTATAAGTGGTAAGGATGAGAATGAGAGTTGTAGGGTCATGTATGTGTGGGGTCTCTATCACAATTGATTAAAAAATCAAAGTACTCTTCTGTTGCTTCCTGGAAGCTTCTTAATGTGTTTCATGAAGTTGATCATCCTATTAATCACTTAAATGATGATGACTAAAGTTTTGTTAATTGTTAGCACAAATGAACCGTATACTTGCCACTATTTTAAAAGTTAACTTTAACAACAGCTCATAAACCACTCACCCATAAACTCTCCCTTAATTATGGTGACACCCACTAAGATTTTGAGGTATGATACTTTTGACAGCTTGTGTATGTTTTTCCTCTGCAACCATGGTGACCATCAACTTTGATCTCTCACCCCAATAATGTTATGTGCATAAATAAGTACAAAATAATAATAATAACAATAAATAAATAAATAAATATTCATGTGATACATTGATTTTTTTTTTTTTGGCATATTTTTATATAAAAAAATAATAAGAATTATGTGCAAGTAGGCATTATTGTCCTCTCCCTCACTTAGAGTTGCACCATTTCATTATTCTATTGAGATAAACATATGATAAGAGATGGTAGAACTGTATCTGAAAAGCTTTTTCTTATCAAGTATTTAAGTTCTTTTAAATAAATATTTTAAATTCAAGCAGTTCTAAACTTATTTTTCAAACTCAAGTTATTTTAAGAAGTGGTATTTTCAAAAAAAATTATAAAAAATTAAATAAAGTCATATTTTGAAAACACATTTGATAAAACTACATAAGTTTAAAAAATAAGTTCAAAATTGTTTAAATTTGGTAATTTTGTTTTAAAAGAAGATGAATTTGATATTAAAAAATATATATATTATCTGGCTAGGTAGTATGAAACTTTTGTCCATTCATCGGTGATGAAAACTCTCTTAAGTACACTTTCTTTAAATCCATCATAAGACTTGGTGATAATGATTTATAATTTCCTCAAATTCCATCATTCAATCTCTCCCTTGTTCAACACTTAACCAACTAACAACACCAAACACCAAACACCCCTTTTGTAAGTTAAATATTTTGGTATGTCTGTCCTTCCCCTTAAAGGAACAGAAAGCCATTGGCATGTAATGATGGTAAAGGAAAAAGGGTAACAGCTAAAGTTGGTTAAAATATGGTTGGAGAGAGGTTATTAAAATGCCCACCCTTACCCTCCATTTTTATTCAAAATTCAAACCCAACTCTTTACTTCGAAACCTCTCTCCACACTATATCACCTCATCATTATTCAAAATTCATGCATCAAAGGTGAAGTGAGAGTGAGAGAGAGAGAGACAGAGATAGAGAGAGGAAATATGACCACTGCAAGATTCATCAAGTGTGTTACGGTTGGCGATGGAGCAGTTGGCAAGACATGCATGCTCATCTCATACACTAGCAACACCTTCCCCACTGTATGTTCTCCTTCCATCATCATCTTTATGATATGTGTTTTCTGTGAAATTAGAAAAGTTATGTGATGGTAATTATCATGATCTCTCTCTCTCTCCCTCTCCTTAAAACTTCTTTTTGTGTGTGTTTTGATAGGATTATGTGCCAACTGTGTTTGACAACTTCAGTGCTAATGTGGTGGTTGATGGAAGTACAGTTAACCTTGGACTTTGGGATACCGCGGGTTAGTAATTGTTTTCGTATTTATGAAAATAAAAAGATTAAAAAAAAAGGGTTAGAAAATACTTATTGTTTTCATGTCTTTCTCATTTTTGTGTCAAAACAATTTTTGAAAATTAAAAAATATTTTCTTAAAAATTGCGGAAACAATTATCCAAACAAGTTTTCTGTAAAATAGAAAATAGAATGAAAAATACAAGCAAACATTCCCTTATGTTTATGTAACTAAGAAAAAGTTAGCATAATTGAAGCACCAATTTAATCAATTCATCAATATGGTGGATATATTACAGGGCAGGAGGATTACAACAGGCTGAGGCCTCTGAGTTACAGAGGTGCTGATGTCTTCTTGTTGGCCTTCTCTCTCATTAGCAGAGCCAGCTATGAGAATATCTCTAAGAAGGTTATTCATTACAAGACAAAACAGCATTAATAATTTCCTTATTCATTTTCTCTAACATTTTTTTTTTTTTGGATTCATATTATCCAAACAAATATTGGTTTCTAACAAAAAAAAATACTGTTCAATTGGCTCTTTAGTGGATTCCTGAGCTGAGACATTATGCACCAACTGTACCAGTTGTACTTGTAGGAACCAAATTAGGTAAGAATCGTGAATGTGTGTAGCGTTACTCTTTTTCTATTTATATATATTTGTTACTTTCTCGGTTTTGAAGTAAACATATGTAATAATGTAATTAATTGCAGATTTGCGCGAAGACAAGCAGTACTTGATTAATCATCCCGGCGCAACCCCAATCACAACCGCTCAGGCAAGTCCCTGATCACATGAACAATGATGTGTCAGTGTATTCATGTTTGGATACTGAATTGTATTCATTGGGATAATATTTTTCAGGGTGAGGAACTAAAGAAGATGATTGGTGCTGCTATTTACATAGAATGCAGCTCAAAGACTCAGCAGGTTTGTTCCTATGATGTTGTTTTGCTTTATGTAACTTGTTCTTATAAACAAACACTACTTATATTGAAACTAAAATCTATTTATATCTCAGTTGGGAAACACTATGGTATACGCTCTTCATATACACTTTATAATTAAAAAGAAAAATGATAAAATTTCAATTTTTTGAATCATAATTAGAAAAAAATATATCATAACTAAACACAACATGAGACATAACTAATGAACTCATAAATCATAATTAAAATAATGTCATAACTAAAATAGAAAATGACATAACTAGGGGTGTATATTAGAACAGCAATGTTAGGTATCATGAAAAATCTTTCATGAAAATAATCATGAAAGTTTTGTGACCCTTGGATTACACTTAGAATAAAGCACCACACACTAATCAAGGTAATCTAAGGATCATAAATTTTTCATGATCATTTTCATGAAATGCTAATGTGGTGGTTGATGGAAGTACAGTTAACCTTGGACTTTGGGATACCGCGGGTTAGTAATTGTTTTCGTATTTATGAAAATAAAAAGATTAAAAAAAAAAGTTGTTTTCATGTCTTTCTCATTTTTGTGTCAAAACAATTTTTGAAAATTAAAAAATATTTTCTTAAAAATTGCGGAAACAATTATCCAAACAAGTTTTCTGTAAAATAGAAAATAGAATGAAAAATACAAGCAAACATTCCCTTATGTTTATGTAACTAAGAAAAAGTTAGCATAATTGAAGCACCAATTTAATCAATTCATCAATATGGTGGATATATTACAGGGCAGGAGGATTACAACAGGCTGAGGCCTCTGAGTTACAGAGGTGCTGATGTCTTCTTGTTGGCCTTCTCTCTCATTAGCAGAGCCAGCTATGAGAATATCTCTAAGAAGGTTATTCATTACAAGACAAAACAGCATTAATAATTTCCTTATTCATTTTCTCTAACATTTTTTTTTTTTTGGATTCATATTATCCAAACAAATATTGGTTTCTAACAAAAAAAAATACTGTTCAATTGGCTCTTTAGTGGATTCCTGAGCTGAGACATTATGCACCAACTGTACCAGTTGTACTTGTAGGAACCAAATTAGGTAAGAATCGTGAATATGTGTAGCGTTACTCTTTTTCTATTTATATATATTTGTTACTTTCTCGGTTTTCAAGTAAACATATGTAATAATGTAATTAATTGCAGATTTGCGCGAAGACAAGCAGTACTTGATTAATCATCCCGGCGCAACCCCAATCACAACCGCTCAGGCAAGTCCCTGATCACATGAACAATGATGTGTCAGTGTATTCATGTTTGGATACTGAATTGTATTCATTGGGATAATATTTTGCAGGGTGAGGAACTAAAGAAGATGATTGGTGCTGCTATTTACATAGAATGCAGCTCAAAGACTCAGCAGGTTTGTTCCTATGATGTTGTTTTACTTTATGTAACTTGTTCTTATAAACAAACACTACTTATATTGAAACAAAAATCTATTTATATCTCAGTTGGGAAACACTATGTATACACTCTTCATATACACTTTATAATTAAAAAGAAAAATGATAAAATTTCAATTTTTTGAATCATAATTAGAAAAAATATATCATAACTAAACACAACATGAGACATAACTAATGAACTCATAAATCATAATTAAAATAATGTCATAACTAAAAAAGAAAATTTGTCATAACTAAAAAAGAAAATGACATAACTAGGGGTGTATATTAGAACAGCAATGTTAGGTATCATGAAAAATCTTTCATGAAAATAATCATGAAAGTTTTGTGACCCTTGGATTACACTTAGAATAAAGCACCACACACTAATCAAGGTAATCTAAGGATCATAAATTTTTCATGATCATTTTCATGAAATTTTTTCCATGATCCCTAACTTTTCCCATATTAGAATTTCCCATCTCAGTTATTGGAACACCATGAAACAAACTATGGAAGAAGGTAAATTAACATCTAATTGCAAGTACAAAAATTTTACGGCACAAGATTTTCTGTCTTGATGCACTCTCAATCTCAATAGTGCCATGTTTGAAAAATTTTCTTTTCAATGTTTCGAGATTCTTATCACGTCATGCAAGTAAGAGTGCATTAAGATTTGGAGATAAAAAATCATTAGTTGCCTTCTACTAACATACTTTTTTTTATTGGGAGCAAAAAAAAGGGGGAAATTGGGAAACATATATATTGCTTAAGCAAGTTGAAAGGCGGCAAATTTATTTATTTATTTATTTTTTTTGTGATCTGAAGTAACAATACTTTATATATTTAGAAAATTAAAATAAGATGTGTTTCTACATGGATAGGAAGATGGTTAAAGGAGCAGTGGCAAATCTTTGCATATATATATATATATATATAAGTCATGTTATGTTGGTCTGGGTGTGTTGAACTGTTATGTTGGTCTGGGTGTGTTGAACTGATAGCTCTGCTTCCTTTTATTTTGTTGTTCTTCTTCTTCCTGTCGAGTTTGGTGCCTCACCAAACTCTTGGGGTTGAGCTTGCAAATGATTGGACTGTCTTCTCGGTGCCAACCTAGTTGGGATCAGGTTAGGTCGCTATGATGCATGCTGCTCTCCCCCTCCTTTTTGATGTAATCCCATCTCTTATATGGTTTTTATCAATAAAGGTTCTTTTTCGCTGATCAAAAAAAATATAAGTCATGTGATCAATTATGATACTTTTAGATTAGGCATGGGCATTTTGGTTTGATGGTTGTGTAACTTCAGCCTAGTTTCCTAATAAATTTTTCAGAATGTGAAGGCTGTGTTTGATGCTGCAATCAAGGTTGTCCTGCAACCTCCTAAACCGAAGAGAAGGAGGCGGAAAGCAAGGCCATGCGTGTTTCTTTAAATAAACTTTCATGCTAACCTTTAATTACCTTTGTATTATTAAATATGCTTTCTCTTGTAACCATCTTCATACTCTTCATTTCATTTTATAAGCCAAACTTAAATTTATGCCACTTTCTTTTTCCTTGCTTCTTTTTCTTTACTCATCCTTTTTCTCTGTACTATTGTTCTCCTACGCTTCAATGAATTCTAAATATACTTTCTTCTTGACTCTATACTTCTATGCTTTTTTTTTTTTTTTAAATTTATTTGTTTCTTTATTTTCTTCTTGGAAAAATAATTTGCAAACATAAATTATATACAAAAAAAAAAACCTCATTCACATGATATAGGAAAAAGAGATGTGGCAGTGATATTATTAAAATATTAAATTGAGATTGTCCATTTTAATTTGAAACCGACGGATTCAAATGTGTGTTATGAGGGCTTTTCCTTTCATCTAATTTCTTTAGCATTGCAAATTTGTTTAGAGATAATTTCATGCATGGCCATTGAAGCTCAACGGACTCCAATCTAAATGTGTTGAATCAACCATCATGTATATTTGTAACATTAGGTGATAAGCAAGTCCTTTGCTTTCAAAATTTATTCGTGTAATAACATGTTCACAATAGATTAGATTGAAGAATATGTAGAATACAACTTGTAGCACCAGCCTTCATTCTTCATCTTTAGGTTCTTTACCAACCTCTTACGCTTGGTGGGTATGCCATTTTATTTATGAAAAGTGCTAAGTGCACATAAATCTATATAACAAATGTACTTTTTTCCTTTTTTTTTTTTTCTTCTCTCCCAATCACCAACCCCTACGTGTGTATGATCTTGATGGGACTTTTGTGCAAGTGACAAATTGTTGTAATGTCTAGGATCACTTCTTTTTTTTTTCTTTTTTTTTTCTTTTTTTTTCTCAAATCCTACGGTTTAGTTACATTACAAAAGTGCACCTAAAATATATTGATTTATTTGGATGTAATGCGAGTCGCATTTAAATTAAGACCTTGTTTGTCATAATTTAAAAAAAATCAAAAAGTTACTATCTTATTTAAGTCATATCATCTTATTTAAGTCATATCACCTTTGTATCACATTACTTCAAATCCAATTTATACCCAATCCATAGTTCATAAAAAGTTAAAAAATACACTTATTTAGATCATCCCAAACCATCCCTAAATCTCAATCATATGATATAGGAAAAAGATCAGGACCCCCACAGAAAGTGACCCCCATGACCCCCTATGTGACGTGATTGGCCTTTTTTTTTTTTTCTTCTCTCCCAATCACCAACCCCTACGTGTGTATGATCTTGATGGGACTTTTGTCCAAGTGACAAATTGTTGTAATGTCTAGGATCACTTCTTTTTTTTCTTTTTTTCTTTTTTTTTTTTTTTTTTTTTTCAAATCCTATGGTTTAGTTACATTACAGAAGTGCACCTAAAATATATTGATTCATTTGGATGTAATGTGAGTCGCATTTAAAAGACTTTATTTGTCATAATTTTAAAAAGTCAAAAAGTTAAAAAGTTACTATCCTATTTAAATCACATCATCTTATTTAAGTCACATCACCTTTCTATTATATCACTTCAAATCTAATCCATACCCAACCTATATTTCATAAAAAATCAAAAAGTACATTTATTTAAATCATCCAAAATCATTCCTAAACCTCAATCACATGATATAGGAAAAAGATCCAAACGCCCACAGAAAGTGACCCCCACAACCCCTTGTGCGACATGATTGACCAATTTGTTTTTTTTTTTCCTTCTCCCCTTATCACCAACTCCACGTGTGCGTTGGGGGGGCGGTGGCAACGGCAGCGGCAGCGGCGGGAGGGGTCTCAATCACCTCTCCATGATATATTCTATGTGCACTTTTTGTATTTTAATTTATGCACTAAACATTATGGGAAAAAAAAAAATTTAAAAAAATTAAATGAAGAATGCGTCTGACAGCTATAGCAACATAGGCAAATGCAAAAAATTAAATGAAGAATGCGTCTGACAGCTATAGCAACATAGGCAAATGCAAACTAGAACTAAGATTGACAATAATTGACTAACGCTTTGAAGTAATGTAGTAACTAATCCGCTCACATACATACTTCATTGAATAAAAAAAAATTCAATGGTGCTAAACACACCAATTGCTATACTAATAAGGTCTCGTTTTGCAATTTTTATTTTAGTTAAAAAGTTAAAAAAATCAATATAAATTACCACATTACTCTTTTTAATTTTCTGAATATTTTTTTGTAAAAAATCAAAAAGTTAAAAAGTGAGTTTAAATTAAGACTTCATTTGTCATAACTTTAAAAAGTCAAAAAGTTAAAAAGTTACTATTCTATTTAAATCACATCATCTTATTTAAGTCACATCACCTCTCTATTACATCACTTCAAATCCAATCCATACCCAACCTATATTTCATAAAAAATCAAAAAGTGCAGTTATTTAGTACACTTATATTTAGATCATTCAAAACATCCCTAAACCTCATTCACATGATATAGGAAAAAGATCCGAATGCCCACAGAAAGTGACCCCCACGACTCCTTGTGCGACGTGATTGACCAATTTTTTTTTTTCCTTCTCTCCTAATCACCAACCCCACGTGTCTAATCAGCAACCCCACGTGTGTGTAGGGGGGAGGGGGAGGGGGGGAGCGGCGGCGGGAGAGGTCTCAATCACCTCTCCATGATATATTCTATGTGCATTTTTTGTATTTTAATTTATGCACTTAACATTATCGGGAGGAAAAAATTTTAAAAAAAATTTAAATGAAGAATGCGTCTGACAGCTATAGCAACATAGGCAAATGCAAACTAGAAAAGATTGACAATAATTGACTAACGCTTTGAAGTAATGTAGTAACTAATCCGCTCACATACATACTTCATTGAATAAAAAAGTATTCAATGGTGCTAAATACACCAATTGCTATACTAATAAGGTCTCGTTTAGCAATTTTTATTTTAGTTAAAAAGTTAAAAAAAATTAATATAAATTGCCACATTACTCTCTTTAATTTTTTGAATATTTTTTTATAAAAAATCAAAAAATTACTAATAGATTGTTCCCAAACAAGGCCTTAGCGTACTAACACATGCTATAGCAATGAAATTTCAAAATTATAAACTCCACCCATTATACAAAGTACAAAGATTCAAAATTAATAAAATTATGTCACATCATCTGTTAGTATACTAATTAATATATCAATTGGTATGTATAGTTATATTCAAAAGAAAACATTTTAGCCAAGTCATAATGCAATTTGCAGTTTTTTTTAGTTGTATTGTAAATTTGGGACGAATGTACGAAAATGGGGAATATAGGTACTGTCATAATAGGCTATTGTGCCCCTCTCATGGGGTTGAGACCAGGTCTATTTTGATAATTTAAAATGTTCATATTGTGGGATACATCGAGTAAAGCATTCATCACAAAATCAAATTAATTGGACAATTTGTAACCACATGATTAGGGACTTAAAAATAAACAATTTCTTATCAAAATAATATTTAGGGTGAATTATACTAACGGTCCCTATAAATTGGGGCTTGTGTTATTTTGGTCCCTGACTTTTCAATTATAACACATTTGACCTTGAATTTTGAATCTTGTTCCAAATAAGAACAATTGAAGATACTATTGGATTTTTCAATGGCAAAATCGTCAATTCGATAAAATATAAATTAATTTGACAAAAATAAATGTCAAAAAATTATTTTTGAATTTTTAAAAATTATTTCTACCTTCTAAAGATAAAATTATATAAAATTGATAAATCTTTTAGACATTTATTTTTTTTTAACCAAATTAATTTTTATTATGTATTTGGATGATGATCATGTAAAATTAATTTTTAAAAATTAATCATTAAATTTTTATTAATTTTTATCAATTTTACATATTTTTATTTTTGAGGGGTAGAAATAATTTTTAAAAATTTTAAAATATTTTTTTGACATTTATTTTTGTCAAATTAGTTTTATTTTATCAAATTGAAGATTTTGCCCTTGAAATTAAGCAATGGTATGTTCAATTGTCCTTATTTGAAATAAGATTTAAAATTCATAGTCAAATGTGCCACAATTGAAAAGTCAGGGACTAAAGTAACACAACCCCAAACTATAGGGACTGTTAGTGTAATTTGTCCTAATATTTATCATTTATTTTCTTAAAACCAAATGTGATATTGTTATTTTCACACCCCACTTTTTATTACTTGGATTCCATTACCAAAAACCATTATTATAATTTCAATTTCAGAAATAGCATACAGAAACTCGTTATATTTACAAGGAATACAAAAATAATAATTCCCTTATTCGAATATAAAATGAATGCAACAGGAGTATGTCCAAATAAATTACCTGAAGGCTTACATCTTAAAAGTAAAAGAAAGGGTTTGACCCTTTTACACAGATAACATTCCGCCCGCAATTTAAAAGGCCCCGTGGCCAACAGATAAAAAGGATCCATGATCTTGAACACTTCTCCATGTTCACCTAAAAAAGATTAGCAACATGGAATGAACATATAGTCCAGTAGAGATCTCAACATGATCCTTAACAATAACAACCTACAGATAGCTATAATCATAAATGCTTAGTCTCATACTATATAATAATGTGACAATTTATAACCAAAATATATATACATAAACACTTTTCTAAAAAACATGCATTTCTTTCGTTAACGTAGACAACTCACATTTCCTTACTCTTATCGCCATTTTACCAAATTTTACATGACAAAAAAAAAACAAAAAACAAAAAAACAAATTTTTGAAAGAAAGACTTTCACAAAAAACCTTTTACACTTTTTCACCCTTTGTAAACTTGTACCTGATTTGACTTTTCAAAAAAAACATGTTCATGAGTATCCGATATCTTTTACATTACTTACAATCTCAACACATTACTCATGTCCACTTCCCACACACTCATGCCCATGCATGTATACCTTTAGTACGAAAGGAAACACAACAACATCCAACAACTATCTACTTCTATCATTTAAGCAATTCGGCCTTCCAAAAAAAAAAAATACCACAACCATCATAACACATGACATACTCAAATATACTGAAGCATTAAAAATAAATAAATTCCGCTCTACCTGCCTCAAGCATGGTAAGCCAATGATACACCTTTTCACAATGAAATGTCAATTTACCAGACACTGGCTGGAAGGGAATGATACCT